CCCGGCCTCTGCCCCAGGAGGCGATCGCAGACCCGCTGGGGGCAGGAGCCCATGAGGACGGGTCAGGAAGATATGAGAACAGCGCTCTCAGCGACAATGCCCTGTGCCCTCCACACCGAAGGTGGCACGAGACGCCGGGAACACGTCAGCGCCCACAGCGGCAGCTCCTGCTCACTCCGCACGCCCGGCACAGGCTCATGCTCCTCGTGCTCTCACTCACTCAGGCCGAGCAGCAGCCGAGGAGGCGGGCTCTGCCTCCGGTCCCCGCCCCGCGGGCCGCACAGCTGGGCAGAGGGGCCGGACCTGGCAGCTGCGGAGCCGCATCCCAGCGCAGGGCCTCAGCAGTGGCAGCGGCCTGACCACCGAGGCCCGGACTCCCCCGCAGAGAGAGCCTCGCCTGGAGGCGGGCAGCCACGTCAGGCCCTGGAGCCAAACTCAACCCAGCCTGGCGCCATGACACTGGGGTCAGGACGGACCCTCCCGCACTCCCGGGCAACCATCCCCACGGCGGCCTCATCGCCAGCCCGTCCCGGAGGCAGGTGCTCGCACGCTCTCCCTCTCCAGCTGTTCTCTGCACCACGTGCTGCATCATCAGCACCACGTCCACGTCCCTCCGCCCCGTCCCGCGGCTGAGCCGGCAAACGCGCTCAGGGCCGCCGGGGCCTCGCGCACGATAGGGGCCAAGCAGTTAGGACGAACTTATTTACCACGTTAATTAAATGGTCTAGTTAACATGGAACATCAATTCTCCAATCACATCTCGGCTGATCTTTCTCAATTAGCAGCCTTGACGTCTGTTGACGGGCCTCCTCAGCAGGGCGCATTAAGAGCGGCCGTGAGCGGCGGAATGGAGGGCAGGCCCGGCCTCCTGCGGCCTCTCCCGACGCGGGAGACAGGGAGGGAGCCCGCCGCTCATTAGCTGCTGAGCAATGAGAAGCCCTCCTCCAACATCAGCAGGGGAATGAGGTGCGAGGGACTCAATAAAGTGCCCTAACCGAGCCCCGTCCTCCTCGGACAGCCGTCCTCCAGGAAGCCGGGTCTCCGCTGCAGGGACAGGACCCACTGGACACGGAATCGGCAGAGACAGGCACGGACACGCAAATCCCAGGACGGAGGGCCACACGGAGACTGTTACAGACGCGGCCACAGAAAGGCTGCAGCCAGGGAGCAGGGCCGGCCTGCTGTCCCCTCTGCCCGCGGCGGGGTGAGAGCACAGCCCTCACGCGGGGCATCGGCGCTTTTTCTGAGGACACAGAGGGAGGGAGACGCACGAGGGTTCAACAGCAGCCACACGGCGCACCTGAACCTCCATCAGACCGGTCATCGTGCACATAATTAACACAGCTTCCCGAAATGACACGCTGGTGCGTCAGGCAGAGAGGTGGTGAAATGTGCAGAAATGCCATCAGAGACGACCCGTCTTTACCTTGTACGCAAAGCATCCCCCTAACATGCCCCACCTCCCACAGCACAGTCACACCACTAATACTCCACCTCCCACAGCACAGTCACACCACTAATACCCCACCTCCCACAGGACGCAGTCACACCACTAATACCCCACCACCCACAGCACACAGTCACACCACTACTACCCCACCTCCCACAGCACACAGTCATACCACTAATACCCCACCTCCCACAGCACACACTCACACTACTACCCCACCTCCCACAGCACGCAGGCGCACACAGAGCTGGTGCTGACGGAGAGCGAGACCCTTCGGCGTGGACTACACTCCAGCTCACACGTCACCAGAAACAAGGCACCGACAGTGGCAGCTGCACCCTGGCCTCAGTGGCGAAGCACTTGGACCAGGGCTGTTACGGCGAGAAGACCACGCTTCCTCTTGCTAGCTCACCTTCCTGACACTACAGTTGGTAGCAATTCTCAACGTGGTACGATCACCCACAGAAAGGCCCAGAAGTTCATGGTTACCGACAGCGAGGAAGCGCGTCAGGACATGCTCTTACCCGTGTGCTCGCAGATGAAGACCACGAAGAAAGGGGTGACCAGGTCGTTGATGCCCTGGACGTAGCCACTGGCAGGGTGGCGAATAGCCCATATGAACAGGATCCTCTCGAAGATCTGGAAGAGAATGGAGCACGTGGTGAAGCAAACAGTGAGCCATCAGAGGCATTAGGACGCACTCTTTCACTTAAATACCAACTGCCCGCTTCCCGCTGTCACTGCTGCTAAAGTATCAACAAACGCCAACTGTGTCCACCTCTTCCTACAACTCCAACCACCTCCTTTCATTGACTCACAGGCAACATGAAGTGCTCCCCCAGCCCGGCGTCCACCACACGCGCAGCTGGCACCGAGGATGCTGTGCTCAACTCCTCTAGGCCCCCGGGTGCCATCCGCACACGGCTGCCCGGCCTGGGCCGGAGGGCAGCAGTACCCGGCCTAGCAGCGACCCAGCCTTGACAGGGCACATGGCCCATGGCAATCAGAGCCACGGATGCCTGGTCTGTACCAGACAGAGCGACCACAGGGGGGCAGTCGAGCCAGAGGGATAGGAGCAGTGCCAGAGCTGCCCTGTAAGAGACACTCTAAAGGGAGGGCACGCCCTCTCCACACGCCCACCCCACCCGCCCTCTCCACCGCCCTGGCAGTGCTGCTGGTGGAACGCAGATGCTGCAGGCCCCAGAGCAGCCAACGTGGACACGCGGGGAAGCCAAGCACAGAGGAGCGATGCTAACGGAGTCTGTGAAGCCCCTCGTGGGCCTGCCGCAGGCGCCCGTGTCCAGGCCCAGCCTCCGCTTGCAGAGACCACACCTGGGTTCTGCCTATCGACTAACACAAGACCTAGGTTCCCAGGACATCCAGCCCCTCCTCACGACATCACCCCCCCCAGAGCCGTGCCCGAGGCCCCGTCCCCGCTCAGGGAGCTACAGAGCCCCGCCTCCCTGGGGTTGGACAGCCCCGCAGGGGCCTGGACAGGCCTGCAGCTCCGGGAGCAGCCACAGGAGCCCCACAGACATGAGGGGGCTGGACCACCGCCAGGGCACGGCGCCTCGAGCCAATGGGATCGAGGTCTCCGACGTCCCAGACAAGCAGAACGACAGACAGGTGACAGGCTCTCCAACCCGACCCGAAAGCCGGCCTCCCAGGTGCGCCAAGCAGTAGGAAACCATAAAATGAACCCAAGTACCGAGGCAGACTCCACTTCCCGCTAAACAGCCAGCAAAAGAGAGGCCATCGCTTGTGGTGCAGATACAACACGCACAGCCACTGAGGAGACAAGCACAGCGCGCTCCCAGCACGGCTCTGCCGCAGACACGGCCGTTCGCTGTGCTCTGCGACCGCACGGCCTTGTGCCTTAACAAGGCTGGTCGCGAGGCTGGACGCGAGCCCGGCCGGGGCTCAGTGCGTGAACGGTGACCTACGAACCAGGAGGCCAGGGCACAGGCCTGGGGTGCAGGCTTCATCCCCAGTCCAGGGTGCGCAGGAGGCAGCTGAGTGATGATGAGTCTCTCTCCTCACTGATGCCTCTCTCTCCCCCTCTCCTTTCCTCTCTGAAATCAATAGACACATATTTTAAAAATTACAGGAATAACAACTCTGGGTTCTTGAACACGTTATTGTTCCAGATGCCTCGGTCTGAAGTGCAGCTACGGGAACAGGCAACACTGAGCAAGTACCTCAGACAAGGAAAGCCGCCTTTTAGAGAGACACCATTTATAACAGCAACAGAACATGGCAGCTAGGAATAAGCCTAATAACACATACAGACCTGTTATGAGGAAAATTTTAAAACCTCACTGCAAGGCATTAAAGCGGCCTCCCAACGGGGCATTAGCATGTTCACACCCGCCAAGGCAGCAGCCTCCCTGCGCGTCGGCGCCCGGGAGGAGTCTGGCCTGTGGCCTCATACGTGCACACGAAGGTCCCACACAATACGTGGGAAACGCCCACTGTCCAGCCACAGGTCAAGGCCACAGAAAGTGTGGGCCAGCGACGAGGGCGACTACAAAGCGAGGCAGACGAGCCAACGCAGAGACTAGACCAGCCCACATCACTGCCTGGCAGTGTCGCTGTCACATGACATGCACGCGCCTCCTGAGGAATCACCAGAAGAAGTGGGTGGGGCTCCACGTGAGGCTGAGAGCAGAGGCAGCGCAGCACGGGCGTCATGCTGGAGCAGGGCTCGGTCCCACCCGGGCGGGTCGGTGATGGGGTGCCCGCCGCGGCATGTGCCACACCACGAGGCTCCGTTCAGAGCAGTGAGCAACCCCTTCAGTGACGCTGTGCGCACGGCCTGGGGTACGGCGCCTGCCCTGCCCACGCGGGAGAGTGGGCACCTGCTCTGCCCAGCGAAGGGGGCCCCTGAGCAAAGGGGGCCCGGGCCGCGCTTACCTCCGTCACTGCGGGCTGTAGCGTCAGCGCCTCCGGACTCATCCGCGGGATGTCGATGTGGATCTGGAGATGGAGGAGAAGAGACAGGATGGCAGCCAGCCCGGGTGTAGCCAGAAGCGGACGCTGGCGCGCTGCCCCCCGCTGCCTGCTCGGAGACGCTGGCCTCACGGAGCGCGGCTCAGATGGGCTCCCGAGTCCTGGCATGACGGGCGGCTGACCTGCCCGCCCAAGCAGTGGCTGCCACGTGCGAGGACAGCGAGGCCTCGGCCACTGGACACACGGTCCACAGCCATCAGCGAGCGTCGGCTCCGGACAGGGATGCGCATGTGCGTGCGTCAGCCGCAGCTCAGCCGCAACAGTACTTCTCGGACCCAGGCCACAGGAGAGTCACGAGAAAGTTCACTCGCAGAGGGACACGCACGGCTCAGGAAGGAACCAAAACAGCATCAGGGCGTGAGCTGGAGGCACGCGGGCTCCAGCACCCAACACCCACGAACATCCCCCACGGGCCCAGCTGTCACCACCCACCACCAGGGACACAGCCCAGCCGGCCAAGGGGACACCTGAACGGTGAACTCGGGTCCACGCTCCGTCCTTACGGTGACCTGGGACCGCCTCCCACCGGCCAGCCTGGGCCTGGGCACACCAGGCGGAGCTGTTACCCTCATGGCAACTGAATACCGCTCTCACCGCGGTCCCAGCCACCTCCCCCGGACTCCCAACAGGAGGAGCTGGTGCACCTCCCAGAGAGGTGCCAGCGTCACCGCCGACGTCTTCTTCTTAAATAAAAATACATCAAAACATGTTCAAAACACTATCGACGCCAACTATTCTGAGACTAGCGGGGGGCGGGGGGATAAAGCAGGCGGGCTGTCCGCCCCCTGAGAAGCGCCTTCTGTCTCAAACCGGCTTCCTGAGTGGCGGGTACAGTGCCAGGCCTGGGAGCCGCTGTGTGCCCGAGTATCAGGACAGGCTCCGGGAGCAGCTGGGCAGGGCAGAGGGTGCCTGGAGGGCAGTGGAGGCGTTCCTGCCCTGAGTCCTCCTCCTCCTCCTCCCCCTCCTCCTCCCCGAGGGAGCGGATCTTCCCCGGAGCCTCCCGGAGCCTGCCGTGGGGAAGACACGTCCACGAGTCCACGTAACTGACAGGAGCTCGGGTGCCAGCAGAGGCGAGCCGGTCCTGGCTCTGCAACACACCCAGACCACGCTGATGGCAGTGACGGCGGGTGTGGCCAGCCCACGGGGGAACTGGCAAGGCTCCTTCCTTCACCTGGAGGCGGGGCTCCACGAGGAAGGGCTGGACAGGGAGACGCCCGGCCGTGCGCCGTGGAGCTGGGCTGTGGCACAGCCACTGGAACTCTGGCATCTCGGAGCCAGTGAGCACTCAGGGTCTCCGAGCCGGGCCAGCAGCGCCCCCTGCCCTACCAGGAACCACAGAGCGGTCATCTGTTCCCACGCGCACCGTTTCCTAGGACACAGCGTGGCGGCCAGTGGGACACGGAGGGAAACACTGCCACCTGCAGCCCCGCCAGGCGGAGCCCGCGAGGGACAGAGGACAGGCCCACCTGCCTGTAGGTGTCCTGGTGGCCCTCGTCGTTCCGCGAGTCGTAGTAGTGCTCCACGAAGGCGAAGTACTCCTCCCGCTTCCGCTGCAGCGTGGCGGCTCTGCGCTCCGCGTTGGCAGGAAGGTAGCCCTGCGGAGGCAGACGAAGGTGAGTGATTCCACACCGACCACGCGTCTCCCTGGGAAGGCGCGAGTCCCGAGGGCCTCCCACCAGGGCTGTGGGGCCCCCGGGGAGGCCCGGTGGGGACCAGCCGCACGCTGCCCACAGGCAGGAACGCCCAGGGCTCTGCGTGAGCAGGGCAAGCATGCGGGGATCCTCCCTGTCCCCCAAATTTTAACTCCATTATTGAAACAGACGTTCCCAAAGGCACGTATGCCACACTGGCAATCAGAGCCCCCCATCCTCCTGCCGCTCCCGTTCCTGAAGGAAAACACACAGGCACGTTGAGGCCTTTAGATAATTAAGCAAAACCAGGAATTATGCAGATGAGGTACATGTAAGCATGGGCTGAATCTAAACGACAGAATGACAGGGAACGTAACTGCTGCATTAGCAGGCTGTGAAAACACCAATCACCAATGTCAACCCACACACGCAGGGACGCGGGTGCAAGCGGTCCCGGAGACACGACCAGCACCCCCTGCGGCCACGTGCGAACCCCCAAGGGCAGGGACGCAGGACCCATGTCACCGCCTCTAACCATTCTACCACCAGCACAGGCGGGACCGTTTCACCAGCTGTGCCCAAGGCCTCTGAAGCGTCATTTAAATAGGGCCCAGCCTGTGTGTCCCACAGCGTGCTGGGCACAGCCGCCGCCCGCGCCAGTGTGAGCCTCAGCGGGGCGCGCGGGGGCTCCGGGCTGAGTGCAGCCCGCTCCCAGCAGCAGGAGCGCCTCTCGTGTCCCTCACTAAGGCCCAGGGCCACCGCCCCTGAGGACAGCACGCCCACAGCCACGGACCACGTCTCTGGCGGGTCGTGGACACACAGGAAGCAGTCCTGTTCACGGGCCTTGACACAGGTCCGCGTTCGAGGACACTGGCTGTTCGTCCTACTGACCTGCATAAACGGTAACGTCTCCATCCTGGTTCAGGGCTGAGCCCTGGGTCCTGGAGGCAGAGTAAACAGGACAGAGCACCCCCCGGCCCTCTACTGGGCCCCCGGGACCACCTGTGCCCAGGCAGTCCCGCCACCCCCACTCCCAGCAGGCACCTCTCTCCCTGTCCCAGGAGCCCAGTGTCCTGGAGCAGCAGTGCAACCCTGGGCACACCTGGGACCCTGCGGGCGCCTCGGTGTCAGTACCTCCCAAGCTCCCAGGCAGCACGACCAGGCGCCCAGCACGGAGAGCCAGGTCCAGGGGGGTGGCCGGGGCTGCCACATCTCTGCTGCGCCCTGTCCCCGCCCACCCGGGGGCACCTGTGGCCTCTCCGCTCGGCTCCTCTGGCCCGAGGCCCAGGCCAATCCCTGAGCAGCATGTAGAGGATCTAACCATGACCGCAGTTGGGCACCGAAGGAGAAGAACAGGACGCGGTCACGCGCGACACCTGCCCAGGGACGCAGAACACCCTCAACGCAAACTGCCGTGAAGGGGCCTAACAGCGTTTTCACCCCAACTTCCCACAATTCCCTCCGAGGAGCTCGAAACCCACCTTACAGGGAAAGGTAGGAAGACTGGAGAGAAACACTTAAAACAAACAAAACACCAGCAACTGCAGCAGGTCTAACTGAATAGCAAGAGAGCATTTAATCAATACGCAGTCACTGTTCAGGCTGCACCGCTTTAGGATTACGAGGCGCTAAGCTGCAGATTGATTGAGACTCATTAGCGAGAAAGCGTCCTTTAAATTGTCAAAGTCGGCCCATTCAGAGCAAACAGAGTCCCCGCCACTTGGCTCCAGAACAATGAAGGAGGAGCTGCCCCAGCGGTGGGCGCAGGGCCATGACCACCCCTCGCCCACGTGGCTCCCGGACCAGAGCTCTGGGCGGTGAGGAGCGAGGGCTCCACCCTCATCGCAGAGGCCACGTTCCCATCAGCCTGTCCCCGGCGCCATGGCTGAGAGCAACAGAAAGCACGTCCAACACGGCCCTGGCCCCCTGCCGCCTCCTCTCCACGCGGGCCTTTCACCAGGTCTGCATGCCTCAGGGAGCTTCTTCACAAGGAGGTCAGGGCGAGAACACACAGCCGCCCTCGCTGGGGCTTCCCATTTCCCGGCAGCCCTGTCACACCGGCTCCTCCTGAGGCCAAGGGGGGTCTGTCCTCAGCCCAAGGCCTGCATCGCCAAAGACCAGGCGTCCGGTGACCAGCCACACTTCCGGCCAGATGAGGGGGACGGACGCGGGGCTGCCCTCCCGGGGGACGGACAAGGGGCTGCCCTCACAGGGGACGGACGCCCTCATGGGAGGGACACGGGGCTGCCCTCCCAGGGAAGGTGGCGACGGGCAGGCCCGGGATGAGCACTCACTGAGAGGAGCTTCCACGTGATGGGGCGCACCGGCTTCGGGATCCCGGACCAGCTGAGCCTCCGCAGCTCCTCTGTGGGCAGAAGAGACGAGGGAATCGGGGTTAGTGAGTCAGCGCCCACGCGCCGCCCCGCCCCCACGTGCAGCCAGATGCACCTCCACGATGGGCACCCGAGCAGTCAGCACCACCGGGCGCACGGCCGCTCAGAGGACACGCGTGTCAGTGCTCCCGTGTCCCCGCTCCCCCTGGGACAGGCGAGGACCAGAGGTGCCAGTGCCCCCCCTCCCTCC